GGGGGGGGGGGGGCGCAAGTGCCCCACTTTGCCACTACGTGCGGGCGCCCATGTCTGTCAACACCACAAATTTGACACAGTGTGATCACCTTACTTGCAGGCCATCCCTAATATTTAAGGATTGACTGTCTGTAAGAAATATAAGGCTGTGTGTTCATTCTCTATTTGTGTCTATTGGCTTGTTACAGGCATAAGATGAACCTATCTGTTCTTACATGTATTTCACCTGGATAGTGTATCAGTCATGATAGAGTAGAAAAACAGAATGATAAATTGAAAAATTTAATAGAAGGATTATGTACACAGCCATTGATGATGCTGTTCCTAGGCAACCATTTCATCCCAGCTACTTCGAAAACTATTTGCCAGGTAAAAACCCACTGAAGAAATCCCTATTAGAGGGTGTCTGATGGTTTCCTTGGATGGGCAGGGAGAGATATTAGGATGTAAGGATAGCATCCCGACTACTGAGAAAGTTGACTGCTGATGTTGTAAAAGGACCGTCACCGGCCAACTTGATGTCCTTGGGTTGGGATGGCCCCTTTGATTAGGTATGGAGTGAGTGCGGCCAGGAGCTGTCCTAGCAGGAGATCTTCAACATTCCGCTTCGCTGCCCATTAGGGGGGGGGGGATGCTTTGGGGAGAGCATAAAGAGCTTTTATTAGCGGGGCATCACACTGTCGCCATTTCTTAATGGACATGTTCAATAGAGGGATCAAATAGAACAATGGAGGATGTGTGAGGGAATGATCAATAACGGGTTAAGAAGAAATATTTTTTAAATTTTTCTCTTGAAATTTTTAACCTTGCTGGTATCCAGGCTTCTATAAATAGACTGCTCTATTAAACAGTCACAACAACATGAACTGCTTTGATCCTGCTGTAAACCAGAGGTCTATTTTAAGGTCTTAATTTGAGCCTTATTCATTACAATTACAAAGTTGCTGCCGCCTGTTTCAGTGCTTCAATGTGATTCTCTCTCCATAGTGTTATTTTCCATAGTGTTATTTGCTATGATCTAACCAATCCTCTAACTACATAACTAACATAACTACATGTACTGTATATAACAACACTGAGGTGGGGTTTTTTAACGACAGTATTTTTCATTGGAAACTGTTCAAATTAACTTAACTGTTGTAGCCAAACTTTTTGTGTGTTCATGAAATAGAACTTTTTATAAAATAACAGGTATCTAGAATGGGTTGTCCTCTGGTCTGATGCACAGGTGATTTAATACTGTCCTCTGGTGCACAGGTCATTTAATGTTGTCTTTTGGTGCACAGGTCATTTAATGCTGTCCTTTGGTGCACAGGTCATTTAATCCTGTCCTCTGATGCACAGGTCATTTAATACTGTCCTCTGATGCACAGGTCATTTAAAACTGTCCTCTGCCCTAATGCACAGGTCATTTAATGCTGTCTTCTGCTCTGGTGCACAAGTCATTTAAGGCTGTCAGCGGAAAGATTGAATGTCCATTGTGTCCCCTTAACTCCAGATTAGTGTTACAGATGCGAGGATTGAAAGGCTGAAACTACATGTGAATTATCTTGTGTGTCAAGACATTGTCTTACAGGTTCAATGCTTGCCTCTTGTTATGTTTACCTGACTGCAGGAAAGTTACTCCTGCTTATATTCTAAGACTGTGTGATGTTTCTCTGATTGTACCACAATAAACAAGTGCTTGGTCCACTCAAAGCTTTCACTACTTACTGTACATGTTCACCTTGTGCTTGTTTCATGAGTGATACATTTTTGTTTGCAATTTTTATATATGATATAAGTTAATACATGGTCCAAATGATTTCAAACGCAGTTCAAGTAATTGTTAAGATGTCAACAATATATAGGGTATATTATATACTGGTCTGGTCTTGGCCTCTGTTAAATATATGCATAATGTTATATTCTGTTCAGGTCTTGGCCTCTGTTTTAAATGTAGACAGGATATTTTATATACTGGTCTGGTTTTGGCCGCTGACTGACACTATTGGAGACACTTAACAAACCTGTCCCACGGACGTCAGTAGTCAATGTCTCTGATGGCCCCAAATGCCATGGTACTAGAATGACACAATTAGACTTCAGAGCCAACCAATGACGTGGCATGCATGAGACGCCACACCCAATGATCTTCACTTCAAGTGCCAAGTTCAATCCAGAATCCTCGTACCAGTTTATGCCCATTGTTGAGAAGGTTTGTTGAATGTGCCCCGTTGATTGTTTGTATAGTGCCACTAAATGCTGTCCGCGGCCTACAGCAGATGGTATTCATTTCACCAGCACCCTACTTGCCAGGGACGGATTATGTGCTATCATTATTCCAGCAGAAAAAAAGTTTAGAGTTACCGGGTGGGAGTGGGAGAGAACGGTACGCTATGCAACTTAAGACAAAACTGAATTAAGGGCCAACCATATATTACGTTAGCAAAACAAGTCAAATTTTCGTAACCTCCCCCACCTCCAACTATTAAACCCGTACAATTTTAGACAACGCCCCCCCCCCGCCCATTCCGTACAGTTTTAGACAACCCTATTAAGCCCTTACATTGTATATCCCCCCCCCCACCCCCCCCGTATGAACCCTTACATTTTAGACGCCCCTCTTATGTACAAAATTCGAATTTTCACCCGCCCTCAAATTATGACGTTCATGGAAAACTATGTTAATTAGACACGAACAATGTGTGTCAATCAAACAAAATATGTTAAGCTTTAATAATAATTTGACATAATACACAAACAGACGTTTCGGTACATGCCTTCATCAGCATAACAAAAAATTGTTTTAATGAGTATAAAGTAATTTTACATAATATATATATGCATATATCCTACATAAAAAAGGGAGAAAAAATAGTGGGTGCAAAAAAAAACAGAAACAAAGTCAAGAAGAATGGAAAGGAAGCGATTTGAAGTAAAACGGAAAAAGAAAAGAAAAAAACAGGAAAAAGACATGGCAGTTACGTAAAATTGTGGATTTGGTTTATCCCGTATGGAGTCAACGTACTAAATCTTATTATTTATTTATTCTCCATATAGATCCTGTCAGGTGTGTTACTAGTATACAGTATACCAGTAACTTCGATGTCTAAAATTCCATCATGGTTAGTGCTTTTGAAATGTTTGGAGACCAGACAGATTTGCCTGTTTATGTTATAGAGGTGTTCTCTAAACCGATCTCCAAGGCGACGAGCTGTCTCTCCTACGTATAATTTACCACAATTTATTTTGAGCTAACCCTTTATATGAAATAAATATTATCGTATTTTGAAGTATTAGAACTTGACATATAGTCACACGAACGGAAACTTACAATTACAAAAGTGAACGGTGGACTTAAGTCGCGTGATTAAAATTAAATATTACTGTTGCGATATCTACCGAGTTTGTGAAAACGCAAAGGAACAGTGTGACGATGATTACAAAGCTTTGCTTGATATTTTTATAGCCTTCAAAAAATATTGAACAATAATGGATTTCACGGCTTGTTAGGTGACCGTTGGTTTTGTTAGATGTTGTTTTGCAGTTGGGAGTCTTGTTTTAATTACAATATAATATAGTCATTAGTGGCTAGGAAGTCATGTATCCCATTTGTAAAACATTATTGGTTCTAATAAGTTAGTGATAGTTTCGGTTCCTACTCCGTGACTCTCGGTTCGGTCGTCAGCTGGGTTCGGTCGTCAGCTGGGTTCGGTCGTCAGCTGGTATCGGTCGGTAGCTGGGTTCGGTCGTCAGCTGGGTTTGGTCGGTAGCTGGGTTCGGGTTCGATCTTTTTGATTCCCATCTCTACCCTAAACCTTGTCAAAAATGTACTAGTGAATCTGTCACCCACACCCAACCCTTAGCAAACCCTGACTTTATTCTGACGCCTTCACCCCCCCCCCCCCCCCCCCCCCCCCCCCCCCCCCCCCCCCCCAATAGTTCTCCAGTCGTATATAATTATTTCTCTCCGCCCCCCACCCCCAACCCCACGACGTCCAAACTAGTTGGTCACTGACACCAGTCGGCTAACAAAAAGCACAAAGCCGACAGTTCCAGCCCACTTTCCCATGGCCTTCAGGTAAGAAGGCTATGTACACAAGTGTTCGTCAGGACAGTTGACAGGCCATTGTGTGTGCCAGACACGTAGTACCCGAGCAGTGTTGTTGTCTCTGTGGGAGATGATGTGTGGTGGACGCTAGGACTCATTGCTGGTTAGTGAACATTTTATGTGTGGTGCACGCTAGGACTCATTGCTGGTTGGTGATCATTTAAAATCATCAATCGTTTTCAAAAATTGAATGCAAACATTATGTAGTTTATTACTTGTGACTCATTCATTCTTTCAATCTAAGAAAGCAGGGCCTATATATTATTTTCCAATCTGACAGCCAATTGATTTTTGAATCAAGATTGTGAGTTTCCAGAGTATATTTTAGAAGACTCCCAATCCATTATGTGACATCACAGACAGGCTGTTAACCTTTGCACCTCGTAAGAACGTATACAAGGTTGATGTGATATTCTCATATCATTGTGTCATTGTGGCTCCACGGGAATTCATGAATTCACTAACACCCACCTCAATTTCTCCACAATAAACTTGTTTTTGTTTAAAATAAAACACTATGAACACTATGCACACTATGAACACCATGCACAGTATGAACACTAGGAACACCATGAACACCATGCACACTAGGAACACCATGCACACCATGAACACTATGAACATCATGCACACTAGGAACACCATGAACACCATGCACACCATGAACACTAGGAACACCATGAACACTATGAACATCATGCACACTAGGAACACCATGAACACTATGAACAAAGTTATGCATGAAGCAAGTTCCACTTTAAACTCATCGATTCTTTGCATCAGGTGGTTTAAATGGCAACAAATAAGATAAATTATGTCATTGTCTACTTTTAATTTAAGTCGTTATTTTTCATACAAAATTTTATGTGGATATGATTGGGGGCTACTATATTAACAGTTCTCTTTGAATGAGACGAATCATCATCTCATTATGTTGACAGTTCTCTTTGAATGAGATGAACCCTCATCTCATTATGTTGGTCTTCACTTGAATAAACTTCTGTTTCCTTGGTCAAAGGCGCTTGTCAAGAAACGTGGACTTGTCTGTCGATCCTGGTCAGAAGATTCATTGGCGTCCCATACTCCGTCACGTCAAATACTCTCTATCGTGCCACATGCCCTCTGTCTCGTCACACCCTCTGTCAGGGCACATACACTACTTCACGTCATACACCCTCTGTCTCGTCACACCCTCTGTCAGGGCACATACACTACTTCACGTCACTCACTCCGAGTCGCGGCACATAGTCTCCTTCACGTCACACTGGAGATCAAATGTGCTGATGTTACAATAGACCTGATCGTCTGCCCATCCCTTCACTCACACACGCTCAAGAATTCGGATAAAACTCATGTGCCCATTGATCATGTGCTCCAAGACCCTGCCCAAGATGACTCCAACTCTAAACTTTTGCGCTCGCCATTTCAAACTTTCAACCGACATGCCGTGCTTGTTTTCCATTTGGCGGGCTTCCTTGACGAGGAAGTCTCGTTCTGCTCTGGGAATGGGAATGTGAGGCTCAGTTCCATGTCTACGTGTTGAGTTGTGTGAAGTGAGTGAGACGCTGACACGAACCTTAGACTCATAGATCCCAGTCTTTACTTGTGCTCAACATTATGTTAACTTTGGTTGTTGCTTAGGAAAAAAAACAACTGTTTTTGTGTGGATAAGGGCGAGTCTCAAAACCCCAAGGCGCAGAAAAGAGTTTGGTGGGGGGGGGGGGATGAAACCGACATTCATTTAATGAGGCTATTTCTGTGTTTCGTTGGCTTGTATTCTTGCTTGTGTTGTTTATATCCTAAGATTCCTGACCATCCTAATAGCTTTATGTGTTTTTCTGGTGGTCGCGTGTCACGGTGCGCCGGGCAAGTCGAGAAAGGTCAGTCGCACGCCCTCAGACATTTCCATTTAAATGACGAGGACTTGGTTATCGTAGGATAGAACTACGTCAGTGGTTGTAGCCCGTGTATAATCACTCACATGGCGTTGTCCGCATCTATCACTCACACGGCGTTGTCCGCCTCTATCACTCACACGGCGTTGTCCGCCTCTATCACTCACACAGTGTTGTCCGCATCTATCACTCACACGGCGTTGTCCGCATCTATCACTCACACGGCGTTGTCCGCATCTATCACTCACACGGGGTTGTCCGCATCTATCACTCACACGGCGTTATCCGCATCTATCACTCACATGAGACAGATTATGTATCTGGACAGGCCTCTGGCTTATTCGTGACCCTCAAACTATTGTGCCAACATCTGGTTTAGTAGTGACATCTGGGGCACTGATTTCACATATTCTCTTTTCTTAGCCAACCAGGCAAATATCTGGGGCACTGACTTCACATATCCTCTTTTCTTAGTCAACCAGGCAAATATCTGGGGCAGTGATTTCACATATTCTCTTTTCTTAGTCAACCAGGCAAATATCTGGGGCACTGACTTCACATATTCTCTTTTCTTAGTCAACCAGGCAAATATCTGGGGCACTGACTTCACATATTCTCTTTTCTTAGTCAACCAGGCAAATATCTGGGGCACTGACTTCATATATTCTCTTTTCTTAGTCAACCAGGCAAACATCTGGGGCACTGACTTCACATATTCTCTTTTCTTAGTCAATTAGGCAAACATCTGGGACACTGACTTCACAAATAATCTTTTCTTAGTCAATTAGGCAAACATCTGGGGCACTGACTTCACATATTCTTTTTTCTTAGTCAATTAGGCAAACATCTGGGGCACTGACTTCACATATTCTCTTTGCTTAGTCAACCGGGCAAACATCTGGGGTGCTGATTTCAGAGAGGAGCAGCTCTTAACTTGTCACAACATCTTTTAGGTGTCAGTATCAATGTAAGTTGTCGAATATTTGCTGTTTGTAATAGTCTATTTAGCACGATATTCTTACAACTCAGGTGGCGTGCATATTTAGAAACACATGGGTCAGAATGGAACAAGGATGACATTTACAAATAAATACGTGGGTTAGAATGGAACAATGGTGAGATGCATGCATAAATTTATGGGTCAGTATGGAACATTGGTGTGGTGCATCAGTAACCAAAGTTTGAAAGGCGCTCTCTGTCTTGTTCTCTCTTGCCTTTCCAATACCTTTAGCTTTATTGAAATCCTTCATAATTTTTTTTTTTTTAAATCCACACATTCTCGACACTCTACTTGTATTGTTTGATTGATGCACGCAGATCGTCTCAGAAAACTACAATGTCGAAGGCGGGCTCTGTGTGCGAGAGGAGAGGTGACCTCAGCCTCGACAGCTCCTTCACTGGCACCTCGGCCAAGCTGAAACTGGGGCGTTTCCGGTGGAAGATGAGGGGCATGTTGTCCAACCTGGGCTCGTCCACAGTGGTGACCAATCAACAACCCGTCGTCGCATATGAAAACACTTACAAGATGGCGCCAGACGATGGGAAGAGGTTCTCAATCAAGCGAGCTGAAGAGGTTTATTTTAATATTTTGACTTTACGTAAATTCTGACAAATTAATAGAATCTCCAGACTCGTAATGACTGCAATATCAATGAGAAATCCTGCCCGAAATATTTGAAATGACGACTCTCTCAAAATAAGACAAGACGACCTCGTGGGTATTAGAGCAGTGCTGTCCGGCCCGCAAGCTGATATTAAATGGCCCGCAAGCTGATATTAAATGGCCCGCCACAGCCTGAGTAGGATGGATTGAGAGTAGCAGTAATTTATGCACATCAGCGGAGCTTTCATTTGGGTACTTCGGGGACATAAAATCGGATACTATTTTCTCCTTCTCTCTGTTGCTTTGTAAAGGGGAGGGGCGTCGTGGGGCATCTGGTTTAATCACTAACGGCGTCGAGAAAGATAAATAGGGAAACCCAAAGTAACTTGATGTGTAGCCATTTGGTCATTGTTAAAATGTTCATGCCACCACCCAGGGCCGGCCTTAGGCCACTGCAACCTATGCGGCCGCAGTGGGCCCCGGTCTTAATTTTCACTTATTATCCTTATCCCTACCCAGACTGGGCCCCGCGCAATCCGTTTCGCATAGGGCCCCGCAATTGTTGAGGCCGGCCCTGCCACCACCAACAGTACAATTCAAAGCAAAATTTATCATTAAAAAGGGCTACAGTTTTTATAGGCTTTATTTATATTCTTGAAGAGCCGATAATGCTATTGGATATAGGAATCTTTATGCATAAGTAAGAAGCATTAATAATGGGAATAATTTTCTTAAAAGGAAAAAAAAAATATATTTTTAAAAATCTGTTGAGTTGCTATCTGTAGCCTTCGGCTTCGCTTTATTTTTATTATTAATTTTTTTTTTTTTTAAGCCGACGTAGTCAAAAGGTTGTACAGCACTGGGGTAGAGAGTATTTTAAGATGAATACTAGAGCTAAATTATCTCTCTTTTTTTTTTTTTTTTTTTTTTTTTTTTGTGGGGGGGGGGGGGGTGGTGTGTTCATTTAACATCAAAAGCTTGTATATATCAGTGATCATAAAATGTTCTAAGCGTCTCTTTGTTCCATCTAAGATTTAAACGACAAGTTTGATTTCCTTTCATCAGGTTATCGATGGCGTGTTCAATCATTACCTCCACGGCAAGTCGTACGACTCCAAGGTGTTTCCACGTCTGATCAAAACATTGACAGAGCTCATCCGGGACAGGGTCAAAACCCAAGGCATGGAAAGGTAAGTCAAGGGTGGTAATCCGATAATGTCTTTGAAAAGTGTGTGATCTGACGTTAATGTGCTGTCTGACAAGTGTGCGTGAGTTGATCATGATCTCATAATCTTTGGGTGGGAGCTGGTCGTCGTATGGCAGTTGGGGTATTGACTAATGCAATACATGCCGGCCTACTTAGGCACAGTGACCACTAGCAAGCATCACCTAGCTCAGTGGTTCTAAATCCTCCTAATGCCGCAACCCTTTAATAAAGTTCCTCATGTTGTGGTGACCCCCCAACCATAAAATTATCTTTGTTGCTACTTCACAAATATGTGTTTTCCAATGGTCTTAGGCGACCCCTTAGTAAGGGTCGTTCGCCCCCTAAAGGGGTCGCCACCCCAAAGGTTGAGAACCCGCTGATCTAGCTGCTGCTAGCAGGGTTATCATCTTCCTGTTCATGATGCGCAGTAATTCACTTTAGGAAGCCATCACGACTAAATACATATATTTAATTGTACGCGAGTCCACTCTTTACCTCTCATTATGTTCACTTGTGGCATTGCTTGGTGTTTCTTATATTTTCTTAGGAATAGTTTAACGTGAAAACTTGATAAGCCTACCAAATATTTTCCTCTCACCGCTGCATAGGCCTACCGGCCTACCTCCTTTGTTCGTGCTTTGATAGCGATTTCATCGTCTTGATGGGTACGTTGGCCGCCATTGATTTCAGCCATGTTAGTGCTTGTCCTTAGCAACGCAGTGGTATCATTAACTCCATTACAGGAGTAGGAGTGAAGGAAAGCACAGGGTAATTTAAATGCACACTGAGAATGTGGTCATTAAAAGTTGTGTGCGCACGTATGCTATGGGCGAAGGTCACGTGTCACTTGCGCTGCTAGACTAAATCTGATTGTCTCACCTTGTTTGGCACCTGTGACAGTAATTACCTCCACCTTGCCAATAAAGTTTTAAAATCAATAATCTAATGCTCTAGATCAGAGGTTCTCGGTCCTGCGTTCCGACACCTGTGTAGCACTGAAATGGGAATGCTTGTCCGTGCAAACATCGGGTCGTCTAATAGCAGTTTGAGATATAATCAGAAATGCCTCAGCTGGTGTCCTATAGAAAAATAGTGTTGCTCCCTCGGGTTGAACGAGTCAATGAGTAGCTTATTTATTAGAAGTTGTCCATAATTTAAATGTACGTTAAAAATTTTGTTGTAATAGTGCAGTCGTTCTGTTACTCATTTTAGGTACAAAATTTTGGCCACGGTAACCGTGATTGAAAACAAAGAACAAGGCGTACACCTGGCAAGTCGAGCTCTGTGGAACCAGCACCTGGACAATTTCGCTTCCCTGTCCTACGAAGGCCCGGATTACTACGCTGTTGGCTCCGTCTACGCCATCTACCACGATTAATTAACCAACGGCAACTTCAGCAAGCAAAAAAAGCCAAAGATTCTATTTTAAACATAATTGTGATATCTTGTGACATTTCCTTGAAATTCAAATCATTTGATGTACATTCACAATCACTTTCTTACATTTACAATCACTTTCCAGCATTCACAATCAGTTTTTTTACATTTATAATCACTTTCTTATTTTTACAATCACTTTCTTACATTTACAATCATTTTCTTACATTTACAATCATTTTCTTACATTTACAATCACTTTCTTACATTTACAATCATTTTCTTACATTTACAATCACTTTCTTACATTTACAATCATTTTCTTAAATTTACAATCACTTTCTTACATTTACAATCACTTTCTTACATTTACAATCATGTTCTTACATTTACAATGACTTCTGATTAATTGAAGAGCAAAAATGGGCACATAAGTTCAAGCTATGTCCCAAACCATGGGGGGGGGGTGGCGACTGGCAGCTGCTGGAATAAATTAAAACTAAATGAAGAGATTATCGGTTATATGTCGCCGTGGTGTCTGTGATGACGCCAGCGGCCATGGCGGTTGTGAAAGAAACAATGCGATGGCTTATTTGATTATTTTTATGGGCTAATAATTTTTACGGCAAGGACACATTAACCTTCTATTAGCCCCACACAAAAAATAAAATGCCCGTGTTTGCCACAAATCACCCACTCACGTACCGTTTAGAGCAAATCATGTAAGTCATCACTGAACTCTTGCAGAGACTAGAGGCTTTGCATTATANTGTATTCCTACAAGTAGAGATGTTTAAACTGATGTATTCCTACAAGTAGAGATGTTTAAACTGATGTATTCCTACAAGTAGAGATGTTTAAACTGATGTATTCCTACAAGTAGAGATGTTTAAACTGATGTATTCCTACAAGTAGAGATGTTTAAACTGATGTATTCCTACAAGTAGAGATGTTTAAACTGGTGGAGGCCTACAAGTAGAGATGTTTAAACTGATGTATTCCTACAAGTAGAGATGTTTAAACTGGTGGAGGCCTACAAGTAGAAATTAATAAAATGTGATGTAAATAAACATATTGTTTGCATTCTACAGATGAATATATCAATGGGATTTCACCAATAAATTCAAAGTTTTCATTTTGACACTGACATTATCGTTTTGTACTTGTATCAAAAACGTGTTTTTTTGGTATTATTTAAGTCCTTACGTTTGTTTGTCGTCTTGTCTTTTGTTTTTGGCCTAACATGAAAACATCACTTACCTACCCCAACTTACCATCCTTAATCGCCATCGTCACAATCGAAAAGCTCAGTGCCCCACAGCTATACATTTGTTTGTGGGGTGTGATGTCACGTGGGGAGAGTGTTGGTTGCCAGGGAGTAGCCCTTCTCTCTCGAAAACACTAAGAGACTTTTATTGTAAGCCTATCAACAGGTTGGACTTTCATGTACCTGTACCGGTGCTTTGTGGTTTGAGGCTTAAGTCAAAACGGGTCTGTAATCTGTTACATGGGGGCTTATTTAAATTAAAACATAGAACTGAGGGCATATGAGGTTTTAATTAGTTCCTGGTGTAAACTTCCCTCACATTTGCTTTATATGCACATAACTTGAAGTTGCATATCTATATACAAATATTTTAATTTTGCCATTCTCAGAGAAATGAGATCAAATTAACAATCCCCTCGTCACATATATAAAAATGAGCTAGGACAGTGGTCGTCAAACTCTTTAGTCAAAAGAGCCAAAAATGAGCAGTAGGGCGATTCAAATTTTGTTGAGAGCCAAATTTCTTTTCAAGAACCTGTTAATGGTCAACAACCATGTTTTTCAGAGTCAAAACCGATTTTTGGCCGACGGGCCGTGCCACACTCAGGTCACCAAAGAGCCGCGATTTGCCGACCACTGAGCTAGGCTGACCATAACGCTAAAGAAACGAAGCGATTTAAATACATTCGTAAGACTTAAAATCAATTATTGTGATTTCCTATTTTTTTACGGAAATTGAATAAATTTAAATGAGCAAAAAAATTAAATATATCCGCTTTTATTTTAGTAAATGTTCAAGTATTATTATTATATATTTAAAAAAACACATTTATAATAACAATCAAGGAACTATTTTAAGCATCTTATCCGATTTTGAACGTTATGAAAAAAAAAAATGAATACAAAAATTATGATCTAAGAATTACGTCATAATCACATTTATCGGGACAACCCAAACATCTGTTGTTTTCAGTGCGTTGTTAATGTTTCAATATAAAATTAATTTGATATAAACAAACACCCAAATGACGTCATAGCGCGAATCGACTAATGCAGTCAAAGCTCCAAGTGTCGTTGGTTCAATAACCGTGCATCGTGCATGACAAAACTGGGATGTATATTCAAAGTAAAATTAATAAATGCACCCCCCCCCCCGGTGCCACAAGTTAGCCTCAGAATAAAGGAATGAATTTGATAAATAATTAACCTTCTTAGGTGCATTACATATCGGGGGTAGGAAATAGGATGACAAATATCTTTAAATCCAATGATATTATAGTTGTGAACAAGAGATGTTACATTCCCTTTTTAAAAATACACACGTGTTTACCAGTAACAAAGAAAATCAATGGGTTTAAGGAAATGTGGGTACATGTACATAACTAAATCCATAAATATCAAAACCAACTCATTTTACACACGTGAAAATTTCATTTTGAAAAATGGAGATAGGGTAAGATTTTCTTTCAAAAATTGAAAATATATTTTTGTTTTTACTCTGCGAAAAGTGAAGTGGGTGTGTATTAGAGACAGGCCGAGAGGGATTTTCTAATTTCGGTCGAAACCAAAACTAGGCCGAAAGTTAAAAATTACTTTCGGCCGAAACCAAAAGCTTAACGAGACTTTCGGCCCAAGCTATTTTGAAATTCGTTCACGCATACATTCTGCATACATCGAAAAATGAATTGGACAAAGTATCAATATCGACAATCTTTTTACCAACAAAAAAATGTTCTCATCGTGAATTGATCAATAAACATCGATTGAATTCTTTGGGTTTTAACATTTCAATTGAAAAGTAATTTAAATTTCTTAACAATGTATTTTAAAGTAGTATGGTAATAGAACATTGGGGAAAAAGTGTGTGCTTTTTGGGGTGTTTTTTTTTGGGGGGGGGGGGAATTCATGCAAAATAGACCCTTGAATGCCCTTTGCTTTTATAATATAATGGGGGGGGGGGACTCCATAAATATGAATGCCCTTTGCTTTTATAATATAATGGGGGGGGGGGCATCCATAAATTACGTCACAAGTCTAGGGGGAGGGGGGTCAGATTTTGTGATGATGTGTGACAAGACGGAGGAGGGGGAGGGGCTTAAGCAATGTGACATCACATGAAAAGTGGAATATCGAAGTAAAGAATTGCAATTGCAACGACCCTAAATTACAGACATTTTTAACATTATTCTTTTATACAACAATCTTAATTCTTTTATGTTTAAACTACTTCCACTGAGAGAATCAGTACAGGTATGCGAGGTCCGCTGATCAAGTTACAGGACGCCAAGGAGAAGGAGAATCTGGATGTAGTTACAATGACAGTCGTGAGAATTTATGGCTAAATGTGGACACGGGAGTCATAGAATTAGGAACACTACGTGACTACCACGTGAAGTGGGAACGAAAAAAATGGTTGACGCAGTGAGGTTGGTATCTCAGTTAAATGCTCTAGGGCAGGGATTCTTAATTTTTTTTTTTTTTTTTTTTTTTTGCAGCGCTGCAGGCCCACTCCGTTTTAAACACCACCATCCCCCAGCCATATAAATTATATTGTAATAACATTAAAAATAGTTAAATAATTTAGTTATCGTATTTTTATTTCTTTAATTAACTTTTAATAAACAAGCAAAAAAAAAATAATATTTTTAATATTTTATAGTTAATAAAATAAAGCACTAGCTTCTCTGACTTCGAATGACGTCAATTTCTGACGATTAGAAACGAAAAATGATGGGTCAAAGAAATTAAATTAAGTAATTTAAAAAATGAGGTTTAAGGGAAGCTAGAAAAATAGTTCAAAGTTGATAGTATTTTACATTGTTGCTTCCCTTAGATTGCTTTGACACCTGACATTGCTAGAATCTGTATCTTATTTTCATTGCCAGCTTGAACAACATCGTTAATTTCAGAAAGAAAAAAAAGTTTATATCTTAAATTATATTTTATTTTCAGATATTTCCTCCTTTTTCGATTTTTTTTTTTTTAAATCTGGCAACCCTATGAGAGACTGAAAAAGAGCCCAATTTCAAGAATATTTTTATCACCATGTTTAGCTAACTGATAAATAAGAACGCATTATTGGAAAAAACAAATTTTGATTTTAAATTGTTAATATCTGTATCATCAAGATTTAATATCTCATCAAGTTTAATAATATAAACAAATTTCGGCGTGATACAAATCCTATCTTTCGTCCCAAGATGTAGGTAAATCTATTCAGAGACGTACTGATTTTTTTATAGTGGCGCCGATGGCAGGAACCGAAATTGCGCCTCTATTAGGCTTGGAAAGCATTTTTAAACATGATTTGTCAAATCTTCTTCCTTTTCTTCTTCTTTATTTTGAGGGCCCACGATCAATGAATTGATCATTCTGGCTCCTATGTTTCAGAGGGGTTTGCGATGTTACTGTGCATGAGTTTCAATGGGATACTTCACTGGTTGCAAGGGCTACTCAGCAGTGGTGTTACGAACTGGGGGTTGCAATACAGGAGGCATGAGACACAAATGTGTCGAGTGTAGGCGCCTCAACTGTTGCTTTTGGAAGCTTGTTCCAGTCCCCTATTGTCTTTGGCAGGAATGAGAACTCATTTGCGGAAGACTTTTAGGCGAGTTCCACAGCTGATCCGCTGTGGAAAAATTTTGCAAGCTCGTTCCCAGCTCCGTCCGAGCTCTTTAAGAGGGGATTGAGGGGGGGGGGAGGGGGTTGAAAGGAGTGCTTAGTGTATTAAGAATTGTGTTTGGTAATGTCCCCTGCCCGTTTTATTGCCTGGGCATTAGAAATGCATGTACCAGCAACAAAACTGGTAGAAGAGTGGGCAACATAACAATAGAAGAGTAAGGCAACATAACTGACAGAAGAGTGGGCAAGAGCTGTTAGAAGAGTGTGCACAGCAGGTAGAAGAATGGGGATTCATAGCCGGTAGAAGAGTGGGGCAAGCTGTGGTAGAAAAGTGGGGCAACAACTTGTAGAAGGGTGTTGAAACTTAGCTGGTAGAAGAGTGGGGCAAAGAGCAGGTAGAAGAGTGATTGCAACTTAACTGGTAGGAGAGAGTGGTAACATCTGATAGAAGACTTTGGCATCAAAGCAGTTAGTAGAGTGGAAAAACATAGCTGGTAGAAGAGTTGGGCGACATAGCTGGTATATGAGTGTACAGAAGCTGGTAGAAGAGTGGGACTCAGCTGGTAGAAGAGTGGGGCAACAGAGCTGGTAGAGGAGAGATAGGAAACATACCTGTAGAATTGTGGGACATCATAGCTGATAGAAGAGTGGGGGGGGGGGACAGCTGTAAAAAGTGGACCATCAATTTTAATAAATGAATTAAAACAAATTTTAAAATACAAATTTAAACAAATAAATTAATTAGAACTGAGCAAAAAGACCATGCTCCAGAGCTACAATCTACGCCCCAATTGCCTGATTTTTTAAAATAATGTAATTTATTTTATTACTGAGTTTATTTATGTGGCCTGTGTCGTATTTATGCCTATCATTTTGCTTAATTAGAAAATAATAATAAATAAAAATAGTTACATTAATTAAGACGACATTGTTTAAATTATTAAAACTATCACTTGTAGATTCTATTACTGTAGGTTCCTGTAAAATTTCTTATGGTAGAAGTAGAAGGCAGGACAAACGAAGGAAATTCTGTGCCCCGCGAGAAGCCTGAAAGTGGGGCACCCGTCCTCCGTTTCATTAAGCAATAGAATATATAATATATTATAACTTAGGAGAAACCATATATATATATATAAGAATTAATTATCATTTTTTTGGACCCCTTGAGCCTAGCCTAGCGCTCGGGATGGTCGCCCCCTTCGAGCTCCCCCTCCTTTTCGCACGGCTGTGGAAGAAGGTTTCAGACGATGGAAAAGACACGAATTTTTAGACGTTTCTGAATTGCTGTCATTAGAAATGTTCTATTTATTTGTAAGGTTCGCATTTTATATAAAATATAACTTTTTTCTAAAAAGATTTCTTATTCTTGTTTCTCTTCCTCATGTCAACTTCCGGTACTGAAATCGAAAGTTGGAATTTTTTTTTTACATCGAAGGGCATTGCATGGATTTTCAAAGTATGCCTAGCATTTTCATTTGAGTCGTAGCTGATAAAGGAACCTCGATTTTCAATTTGTGTCACAATTTGCATTCACTGAATTTACAAAAATTTTAATGAGTGTAATTAATGATTTACTTAGTATAAATAATATAAATAATAAACTGACTTGTTAAAAATTAATTTAAAATTGAGGGTAATATCTTGCAGTTCAGGTGCGTATATTATTTCTGATCGAATTTCGTATCATCTCGTGTAAACTTACGTGTTTTATTTATAAAATTTAGTCCAGACAGTATTAGTTAACACTAAATTGTTCAGCACTAACTTTTATTTTTATTGATTTTTACAGCTCCCATTGGTAGGCCTACATAGCCCGGTAGCATAAAGGATCTCTCCATTTTCTTTTCAATTTTTTTTTAATTCACCCTACATGCCAGATTTCAATTTTCTGGTTTCCTGATTTTTTACAGGCCCCATACTTTATACGTGAGCTAAAGGGCTTTTAATTTTAAAGATGTTTAAGTTAATGAAGAATACATAATACATATAAGTTTACATGCGATAATATGAAATTCCACCAGAAATAATATACACACCTAAACTGCAAGATTACCAAAATTGAGTTACTTAACTTTAATAAAATAACGAAGTGGCTATTCGGACCTGGGTATCAGAAGTGAGAGGTTGGGATTAAAAAGTGCGTACCTGGGTCCCTTTAGACTAAATGCTATTCGAATGTCATTTGTGATAGTTTATTTTAGTTAAACTGAAGAAGTAAATTTGCAAACATATATCTTTCATTTGATACCAAACTTTGTCTTACAAACCCTACAATAATATTTTTAATATTTTGTAATAAATCCAACCTCTCACTTCTGATACCCGTGTTCGAAAAGCCGCAGCCATATAATAAAGTTAGACATTTACAGTACATATTTTCAATTTTCACTTATCATAATTCATAATATCATATTCATATATATTTACTTTTACTAAGTTAACTTATTAATAGTTAGTCTTAGTCTCTTGAGCCTTGCCTTACCTTAAGCCATAGCCTTAATAAAGTACGAAGGCCCTTAGCCTTAAGTTTTTAGGCTATGACTTAGTCTTCGGCCCAGACTTTTAATTTTACTTAGACTAAGTATAAGAAGTAGGACTTTCTTGAAAAATGACATAAACTTATTTAGTTATTAATAGATTAAAATAGCCTACTCAGACTCAAAGTTCAAAGTAAGCACTTTAATAGGGTTGCTCCTTTACACCCAAGACATGTGAAGGTATAAGTTGCAGGAAGGGACCGTTCATAAATAAGGTCACACATATAGTATAGCCTATAAAATAGAGGCATTGGGAGGAAAGAGGCTCATACATTTCATTACAATCTTTCTTCACCAGGGTTTCTTTTCTAATTTTTTTTGACAACTGTTTTTCATTGAATATTGGGAGGTGTAAAAAAAATTGGCCAAAATAGCATGACAATGGCATAATTTATGGATGTCCCCAAATTAATAGTTGAAATTTACCAGATTTATTTTGACCCATCATTATTGGAGTGGCAGTTATTGATTGTCATAAAAATAATCATTTTATATATTTTTCCCATACAAACCATGTAACAGGCTAAGCTGTATTAATTTAACTTTTAAAAATTACTTTTAAATTTAAGGTTATGATCCACATTTTATATAACCAGTTTCAGAGGGAAAGCTAGGGTTAGTGCCAACCAGGGGAGGTTTAAATTTTGCCAGTCCTATTCCAGTTGGCCAAAAATATATAGAAAATAGTCACCCAGGGCAGCTCGCCCCCTCCTCATCCCCCTTTCCAGTTCTCAAACATGATTTAGCTAAGTATTCTTCCCATACACCACAGTTTGCACACATTAAGTTTGTAGGCCTACCTAAGTATTTAGTTCTCATTAAAATTGTTAGAACATATTATATTATTACAATTTTTAATGATCACATATTTCTCAAAAATATATTTTTTCTACAGAAAGCAACTTTTAGTCTGAACGGATGATTAAAAGGGAGCAGAATCTATTCATTTTGTCATGACCATCGTAGACTATGTCTCAACTCTTGGTGATAACCCCTACTTTGGTGCTGGAGCAGGCTTATTTGGAATGGGTTTGCTTGCAGCTGTTGGCCGTCGAGGCCTCCAAGGGGCTTCCATTCTAATGAGACGTCATTTTATGATCACAATGGAAGTAACAAGTCGTGATAAATGCTACCAGTGGTTGCTACAGTGGATCACCAAATATGGAACTAAGACTCAACATTTGAGTGTGGAAACTGAGTTCCATCAATCAGCTGCTGGTCAAGTGAAGACACGATTTCACTTTATGCCAAGCCCTGGGAATCATTATTTTTGGCACAAAAAGAATTTGATTATTGTTGAAAGAAACAGAGACAACAAGATGGTTGAACTTTTTGAAACTGTGACTCTTACAGCTTTTGGGAGAAATAGAGAGATGTTCATGAATATATTAGATGAGGCTCGGAGTTTAGCTCTTCAAAGTGCTGAAGGACAGACTGTCATGTATAATGCTATTGGACCAGAATGGAGACCTTTAGGTTATCCGAGGAGAAAGAGGCCTTTAAGTTCTGTTATACTGGACAGGGGTGTTTCTGAACGTATTTATGATGATGTTCAAGAATTTATAAACAATCCAAAGTGGTATGCTGAAAGAGGAATTCCATATCGTCGGGGTTATTTATTATATGGGCCTCCAGGTTGTGGTAAGAGCAGTTATATCATGGCCTTGGCAGGTAAGACACTGATTAATATCTAAGTAGAAATGTCCCAATATTTAGCATTATATTTTATCATCATCCAAGCGATGTTTATCATCATTTACCTAATTTTTATTTTTCACCTCTAAATTTCTTGTTTAAATTATAAAGCTGATTGCTCATAAAATAACTTCTGAATTCACTATCCATGGCTAAAGATAGTTCCTGAATAATTTAAAAATAGATTATGGGTATTTAAATAAACTTAGAACTGCAAAAGCAGTATGTTACTTTTCCATTTTGTTACTAGTAAAAAAAATGTTTAAAAAATATTCAATTAATTTGAAATAGTACTTTGATATTATACTGGATGTCTTTTTAATTGCAATATTTGATATTATATAGGATTTCTTGAAAAAACGTGGAAGTTCTTGGAACATTAAGGCCTTTCAATTTCATCTGTTGCAACATTTTATAAATTACAAAGGATAACATCCATAACTGAGGATTATCTCCCATAACTTATCCAGAATCCACTATTTTTTCCCCAGGTGCGTTAGACTACAGTATTTGTGTAATGAACCTTAGTGACAAAGGAATGTCTGATGATCGACTGACACATCTTTTAACAAATGCTCCAGAGCAGAGCATTATTCTTCTTGAAGACATTGATGCTGCCTTTGTCAGCAGAGAAGCAGCTAAAGAGAGTAAGTCAGTGTTCTTATACAGAAATAAGTGTGCTTTATTTCACAATCCATAATCTGCTACTTAATGGATGTTAACCAAATCAATTTTCTTATATGATGGAAGTGCCTTTACATTGGGTGAATCAACATAAAAAAGTTTGTTACTGTTAGTACAGTACTTTATAGAAGGCATACTGAATCACTATACTTTGATACAATAAAATATTATTTACACCATTTACATTTTTAAAGCATATTTGAGTGTTGTTCAGTTAACACAATATTTGGCCTGTCACTTTGTCATGATTTCTTTCCCCTAGCCTCCATTGCTTATCAGGGCATGGGCAGGCTTACGCTGTCTGGCTTACTAAACGCACTAGATGGAGTGGCATCAACAGAAGCAAGGATCTTGTTCATGACTACAAACTATATTGAGAGGTAGTCTGGCATAGTTTTTTAGTGGCACCCAGGGCGGGCCGAGCTTTCTGGCCCTCCCTCCCCAATTAACGAACATTCAATTTTCTATTTTTTAATGCATGTTTTGTTAATATAGGTTTATATTTAGTTGTTAAAAATAATATTTTTCTAACATGGGGGTGCATGTATTTTAGAGTGGTCTCCCTTTGCTTAGTATTTCAAGGGGTATTTTGGTGTTTGTGGTTAGTAGCGAATGGGTTAAGTTTGTTTCAAGATTGTAAAGAATCTTTCAACTTTTGTTGAGTAACTGTGGTGTCTAAAAAAAAAAAAATCACTTTTGCTTTTAAAAAAGTTTTATTGCATGCAAAATGAGCAGCAGTGTCATGGTTTAATATTTATCATTTTTGAGATCTCTGAAACAAAATTCCTGTTGGTTCTCCAGCTTAGTCTCTTGAAATATTTTAATTTATCAAAGTTCGACAGTTTGGATTTACCAATTCTGAAGGCATATTTAGTTATATTGTGATATATTTCAATGTATCAGATTGTGCAGGATAAATAAATAATTACATTTGAATAAAGGAATCTCAATTGTAATCAATGTTTTAGTAGCTTCTGCAGTCAAGGACATCAGTCTGATATGGTAAAGAAACTCTGCCCTCTTATGGGAATTTTTTTTAAATCTTTAAAAATTTGTTTCTCAGCTAGCAAGAGCATTGCTACTGTTTTTGAGATTTTTAAAATTTGAAACTTTTTAATTTTATAAGAAGCAACTCAGTTTGTTCAATTCTCTTGTTCAGGCTAGATAAAGCTTTGATCAGGCCTGGCCGTGTTGACTGGAAGGAGATGATTGGCTACACAACAGAATATCAGCTTCAACAAATATTTACAAGATTTTACCCTGATCAACCAGAGTCAAGGGCTCAAGAGTTCTCCTCAAAAGTGATTTCCCTTGGTCAGCCAGTTTCTCCTGCCCAAGTTCAGGGATTTTTTATGTTATACAAGAATGATCCTGACATTGTTATAGCTAATGCTAAGGAAATAGTCCATTTATGATTTGTATGTAATAGTTATAAAAAGTTATACTGCTATTGAATGGAATGAGTTGGTAAAATTTGAAAAAGGTAAACTGGAACCAATAAATTTAAAACTCTCACCATGAAACAAGATGCTTTCAGGTAGGAATGGCAAGTGTGTATTTTTGGAATTTTAAAAGTGAATTATATTCCAAACCTTTGTTTGGTGGTCACACTGGGTTGTTAACAAAATAATTCCCAATTTCCACAACAATGTCTATCTAACAGGGCTGGGTTCTTATTTTCTATTAAACCATTGTTATTTATTTATGGTTGGACGTTCAGACATAATAAATGTAAGTCTGAGGTCCCAAGATTTTTTTGTACAAATACAAGCTCACATTAAAAAGAAAAGGACTACATTTGGAATTGTTAATGTAAGAAGTGTATTTTCTTTTAAATAAATAAATGAAGGGACTGCTTTCAAGCTATGTAAAAGAATGAAATAGTGAAACGAGGTATGTGGAAGCTTGAAATAAGGTAACAGGACAAAAAACAAGGACGTTTCGGCATAAAGCCTTCATCAGCCAACAATAGAAATGAAAATACAACAAAGAAAAGAACACAGTAGAAAACTCAAGCAGTATTCATTCGTCTCTCCGGAAGTGGGAAAACAGGA